TAACCCATTGAGGTGCCATTGCTGAACATAATCATAATAAATTTAGTGTAATAAAATACAATGTTTAAAACATTTTTTTAGTCCACATTTTTTCCAGTGCTAATAATCCTCTGGGAAAAACTGAGTAAAATAAAATAATTCTTGTGATTTTGATTGGTCATATCCATACTTCTAATATARTTTTAACAGATTATTAATTTTAAAGAGATTACATAAATATCTGCATGTTTTTAAGACAACCATATCTTACCAACACAACCTATTAATTCTTCACCCTACTGTTCCCAAATACCAAAAAAAAGGCATTTGTGCAGCAGTCAGATACTCAGAACTCCTGCCCAATGTCTGGAAATTTCTGTTCCATAAATCACAAAAAAGTCATGCAAAATTGAACTGCACAAACACATTGAATAATATTCTGCCATAGAAATTATCCTACTTCTGGTGTATGTCTGTGAGAACTTCACTAAATATAGAAGGTTGTACCAAATGAAATCCTTTAACATCTAAGTGTCCCTTTWTATTACATGTGAATAAAAACGTAGCCAAAACCTCTCTGACTGATTCAAATAGCACAAACAATTACAGAGTCAGGTTTAGAAYAAAACAACTGCCATGCAGTTTCAAACTCAAATATAAGAAAAAACAAAGCTGTCAAAGATTTGCATATAACTTGTGCACCATTTTCCAAGAAAGCCTCCAGATGTAGCCTTATATCAGAGAAGGTTACACAACAAAYAAAAAGCAATTTAAAGGTCATTAATTTAATCTCAAAGAAAGTCCTGCTATTTTTTGCAACTTAACAAGCTACTGACAAAAATACATAGGGAAAGAGGTTGTCACTTTACTAAGAGCTACTTGTCTTTGRGAAACTTTCCTCTTTGCGAGATGTACAGATCTCTCCATGGATAATGGAAGGTGGAAATTATTCGGTAGGGAAGGAGGAGCATTTTTCAGCCCCTTGCTGCCCTAATTTTCACTCTAATGAGTTTTGCCACCAGTTTAAAAAAGTGTGAAATTCTCACCTTGTGTAGTTCACTGCTTTTCTGCCTGAGTAAAGACTGGTACACAAAGCCTTTTCTTCTACATCAGATAACATCTGCCCCCACCCTTGTTAAAAAAGAAAACCAACAAAATCAAACCAAAATACAACTAAGAAAAGAAACTCCAACCCAAACCAAACAATAAATCCCCTCAAAGATTGCATCACTTTGTTTGCAAGAAGATCTGAAACTGTATTTTCAATGCAACTGCACTGAATGGTCATAACCTGACACAGCCAATACATTTAGTAAAGGAATAAATAACACATTWCTATGCAGTTACAACAGCACACTTTTGCTCAAGATGATACACATCATCCATGGGTATGAATTTAAAATTTTATCAGGTTGCTTCTGGAGTTCCATTCAGTCTTCTGCAATGGCAAGCAGGAGGCTACCATGTATAAAGGCATAGATTTCTATGGCAACAGTTTAAATTCTAGGCTATTCTTAGTTGAAGTGTTTGCAGAAAAAAAAAGCAAACCACAAACAACCTTTTTTTTTTTTTACAAACTAAATAATGTATCTGTTCCTTTTCTGCCTTTTCTGTAATAAGAGAAATGTCTTTGCTGTGATGATTAAGCAATAAGTAACTTAATGTGATATATACTGTGACTGACGATTCTTCACTTAGCAGGAAAAAAAAAATGCACATTTAGATACAGCATGTATATTTTATAGACTTCCAATGTCAGAAATATTATCATGACAGTCTTTATCAGCAAATAAAACGTCTACTTTTTTGTTATTTTTGTTAATGTAGTACAACTGAACATATGTAATATATTTGCACTTCACTCCTCTTTAAAACATCCTCAATAATCCCTTTTCTATCTTTTATGTTTCTTTTTTGTTGAGTGTTTTGTTTTGATAAAAATAATCATGGAAATACTAAATATGTAAATAAGATAAGCTTTGAAATTCAAGGCCTGGTAATTATAACATCATCTCAGAGAACTGGGTGATCTATGTGTCTTAAGGGCAAGTGTCTGCAAGATGGAATGTTAAAATCAACTGTGAATGTTAAAATAAAAAAATGACACAGAAAATGACACAGTAGCAATATTTTGCTACTTCCCCACAACCTGGAAACAGGGTGTTAAATACATGTCTTCAAAATTTCAATTGAATTGATATTTCTTTTTAGGTATGCCAATGAACTAGCACTTTTAGGAAGGTAAATAAGTAAATTGGAAACTTTATGCTACTTTTCAATGAAGACAAATTAAAATTACATATTTAACATTATATTCTCTGAAATGCATGCATGTCTGATCACAGTAAGTAATTTGACATATTTAGTTACGATGCCTTTTTTCTTAATTTCCATTACAGTGCCTCTAACATTATCATTCTTTTTAACATGGGATGTATTCCTAATTTTCACAGTTRCTCAATTGGGCCACTACAATGTCATGAAGAAGGCAGGTAGTCTTAGGTAGTCATCTAAGGGTACACTGGCTAATACCTAAACAGGTTCTTTTGGACTATTTCTAAACAACTTTTGATAGCCTCCTAAGGACAGAAGTACTGGCTCATGTGTAAATGCATTTGCTTTTTCTTCTCAAACTGCACAACAGTAGATTGCACAATGGCAAGCTAGTGCCTCTACTGCCATCAGTTTGTCTCACACAGTGTCCTGGCAGAACAAACTGTCTGACAAAGCAGCAAGGCAGAGTAAAGATGGGACCTTGAAAGAGGAATGGTTTGTGTAGGTAAGCAGGCCTTGCCATTTTCAGAGCTGCACAACCAAACTTCAAGGTATTTTCTAGGAGATTGCAGATATTTCCACAGTGAGAAAGGATTCTGGAGGAATGCTGTATTCCCCGCATTTAATACTTCATGAATACCTGGGATCAGGCTTCTGCCTCATTTTCAAGAGCATACCTATTGCAACGTGTATGTATGTCTGCTTTCTCCTCGCAGATCCCAAAGGTGGGCATTTTCTATAAAGGAAACCAATTCAGTATTTGAAGTTTAGCAAGTCCCTTACAGTGTTYTATTCTTTAAAAGGATTCTCTGCCTGGAGAAAGCCAGGGGCAACGTGACTGAAATTCTCCATATCTCCACTGGGACTTGAGCTCTGAGTTACAAGTGATTTGCAGAGACTTTCTCCTTTACCGGTTTGACTGAGTTTAGGGGCACTTTCCCGTACAGGAACGGGATCAAACGCGAGCTGCCTAAAGTCCAACTGCAGCACTGCGCCGCGGTTTTTTTTCAGCTTTCCATATCAAAGGCTGGAGGTACCCAGTGCAGGAACGGGAAAATCCCTGCRTTTATTCGTTTTCCCACTGGCGGCAGCTGATGAAGCCCGGCTGCCCGCAGTTGCCCCACCGGGCAAGCTAATCCCGGGCGGGAATGCTGGCCGAGAAATTCGTCTCCAGGTTAATGAGACAAAGCTGGGCAGAGGCACTTAAAGCAAATTCCTACTAACATCCCTAATATATCTGCAGTGTGTGCAGCAGAGGCGGTGACAGCAGCGGCAGCAGCGAGAGATTCACAGTATTAATAAAGGAATTCACTGCCTCGTTTAAAAAAAAAAAAAAAAAAAAAAGAGGGGAGGGGAGGGAGTGAGAGGGGAGGAGGCAGGCAGGAAACTTCTGTGTGTTATTTACATTGGGAAGGGGGGAAGGAAGGGTGTTTGTGTGCCTCTGCCTGTGAATGAATGAGAAAGAGGAAGGGAGGGAAAGAGAGGGAGGGAGGGAGGGAGGGAGGGAGAGAAACACACACAGAGCACTGAAAGGAGGCTCTGTCCCCTAAACCCAAGTAACCCGTTTGCAAGAATTGGATGCTGGAAAAATGGTAAGGACCCGGAGTTGAAAACATTTTCACTTTAATACTGAAAAAATATGCCATTATAAAATCCTCGAATAGAATTAGTAAGTTTCACTTGCTTCCTCAGTTCTGTTTTCCTCAAGTTATAGTAAGATTTACAACAGCACAGAATTTTCTACCATTAAACTTTGCAGCCTAAGCGCTAGAGTGACATTAATTGGTCATGCTTAACTGCCTTGGATTTTTTTTTTGTATGTTTACACTGTTACCATAATAGAAATCAAGGGTACTAATTTTTACATTCAGATGGAAAGGCAATACTGAATATGTATATTGAAAAAGAAGAGAGAGAAAACAAAACCAAAGCCTACCCTCCCCACCTTCCCCCAAAAAATGAAACATAACCCACTATCAACAAAACAAATCTCCCCCAGCAAAGTAATTCCCACCTAAAAATAAAATTAAAAAAAAAAAAAATCCAATGAGAATATTCATGCAACTATGTCTTAAATAAAATCTTTACAATTTTTTTCCACAGTAAAAGTACGATCTCTACTGCCTATTGATCACACAAAAAAACTGGCGAAATGGCACTTTTTATTATTATACTGTATTTCGTATATAGAAGGTTTGATACGAAGGGACTTATCAGGTAAGAGGGATGATGGTGTGAACTAGACGCTGTTTCCAGTCGGGGGCTGGAGCGTCCCTGGGGTGCGTTGTATCCATGCGAGCCATGCAGCACTTTTTTTTTTTTTTTTTTTTTTTTTTTTTTTTTTTTTTTTTTTTTTTTTTTTTTTTTTTTTTATTTGTTTTGGAGTCGGAGTCATTTATTTACATTACATTCATGCCTTCGTGCAACTTTCCACTCCTGCTCTGCCGTCAGGAGGAGGCCAACACCAGTCCTCTGCCCCCTTCCTTTTTCCCGGCCTCTCGGAAAGGGGTCGGTCCACGAGGGAAGMGGGCAAAAAAGCAAATCAAACCCCAACACAATAGAACAAAAGCCCAACAAAACCAGGAGCCGTGTTTCGCCCTGACGGAGCCGAAGGAAGCGGTTCCTCGCCTGTCTGTCGCTGCCCCGGCCGCTCTCGGGCGGGGGATGCGCGCACCGCGCCGGGCTRCGCGGCGCTGCAGGGATGCGCCCCGGCGCCGGGCTCCCCCCGCCGCCCACTGGGCCTCGGCGATTGCTATGGGGGTCGTGAGGAAGGACGTGCGTGTGTCTGTGTGTTTCGTTTCTCACAAAAGGTAGCAGCAGAGGTGCAGAGCTGTCCCCGGCCGGAGCGTGAAGGGCCGGTCCCGGGTGGCGGCCGCCCCCGCCCCGCCCGCCGCCTCAGTCCGACAGGGAGTGGGAGCCGCAGTCGTACACCCTGTGGGCCCCGTCGGCGCTGTAGGGCCCGTTGTGCCAGTAGGACGAGTCGCAGACCGTCTGCAAGGAGTTGATTTCGGATGCAGAGGAGTTGGCGTCCCTCCTCTTAGACCGCTTTCTGTTCCTCAGGATGAAAACCAGCATGCCAACCACGGTGAAGGCAGAGGTCACAAAAACCAGCAGGAGCCCTGGCACTAGCACCGAAATAGAGACCCGGCTGGTCTCCAAGTAGGAGTTGGAGTGAGTACCTGTCTCTGTCAACCCGGTGCTGTTTTTGTTAGTAGAAGTTAATGTGGGTGAGATTTTTAACTGAGGGCAAATCACATCGTTGGAGAGAGACTCGAAATCCTCCTTGAAGAAATCTTCAGGAGACTCACACCTCAGGTCGCTCATAATCACCTTGGGGCGCAGCATCTCTGCCCACTGTTTGAAAGGCACGATAGGGCAAGTACAGTCCCATGGGTTGCCGTGCAGGTCGATCTGGGTGATGGAGGTGAGCTGGTCCAGCACCCCCGCCACAGGGAGGTACATGAAATAATTGTTGTGTATGCTCAGCTTGGAAAGCGAGACMCCGGCGAACACGTCTACTGGGAGAGACCTCAGCAGGTTGTTGTTGAGGATGAGGACTCTCAGTTTGGGCATCGCATTGAAGGTGCCAGGCATGATCATCTGGATCCCATTAAACTCCACGTTCAGATACTCCAGGTTTTGCAGCCCAGCGAATTTCTCCCGGGACAGGGTGTCTAAGTAGTTGCTATCCATGTAGAGCCATCGGAGATCAAAGAGGTTCTTGAAGGTGTTGTTCTCAACAGTGGCAATGTTGTTGTTGCCCAGATCAAGTAAATTAAGTTTTCGGTAATCCAGAAAGTGGGATTTCCTGATGGTGTGTATTTTGTTGTCTCTCAGAAACAGCTCCTGCACATTGGCCGGTTTGGGCTTCAAATCCACCAAGCTGCTCACATTCCTATCATTGCAATTAACCTTTAAACCCGAGCCAGGGATCTGATCACAGCTGCAGATGTGAGGGCAGGAAACGGCAGCCGGCAGCTTGCTCTTCGCACTCACTGTCGACACGGCAGCAGTGGGTTTGGTCTTGATTTGCCAGTTGACGGGAATCTTTGTACCTCCGTTTGGAGCAGATCCTGGCGTGGCAGGGTCTTCTTTGCCATGTATTTTAAAGGGGGTTGGAATGGGACCAGGATCGCAGGTTTCTTCTTCGGCAGGGGGAGCAGCTAGGCTGGAATCTACTCTGTTCTTTTTACACAGCTCCTGCTCTGTGGTCTCATTTAAATCTTTGCCCTGCAACCTAGTGGGAGCTTCACAAATCACTCTGCCGATCAAAGCGTTTTTAGGTATGTTTTCCAGCCATTCTTTCAACGACAGCAGATCGCAAGTGCAGTCCCAGGGGTTATCCTCTAGCAGGATTTCAGCAATGCCTGGGATCTGCTCCAGGACCTCCTCGTAAGGCAAGGTTTTAAGACGGTTTCCCCGGAGGTCGAGGTGGGTGATCGGCACATACTGAAACACGTTGGGGGGCAAGGTGCTGATGAGATTGTCATTTAAAATCAGCACCTCTAGCTTGTTTAAGTCCCTAAATGCTCCCGGGTCAATATCCCGCAATAGATTAAAATCTGCCTGGAGGTATTCCAGATCGTCCAGCCCCAGGAAAGTCTGCTTCCTGAACGATTTGATCTTGTTGTTGTTTATGTGCAAGCGTTTCACCAGCTGCAGCCCAAGGAAAGCCCCAGGAACAATCTCATGCAAACCGTTGTTTTCCATGTGCAAACTGACCGCATTGTAAAAGTTAGCAAACTCATTAGGGAAAAGTCGAGTCAGGGAATTGCCATGCAGGAATAAATGGTAAAACTGGGAAGTTGGGGCGGTGAAATGTTGCAGGCTGGTAAATCCCTTTTTCTCACAGTCTACGTGCAAATCCCCTTCTATCTCGTTGCAGGCACAGATCTTCTCTTTGCAAACGTCCCCTGTAACGTTTCCAGCAGCAAAACAAAGAGACGTCTCCAGCAACAGAATCCAAAGCAGCATTTTTAAACCGAGCAATTCATTCCCGATCTCATCACAAAGTAACAGCAACCATCCTCCTCACACGGAAAGCAATTCCAGTTCATTCAATACATTAAATGTCCGAACCACCAGCAAAGGGGGAGGAAAAAAAAAATGTATGTGGGGGAGCAGGGAGGGTCGGCGGAGGGGGGGGATGCTTTCTTTTCTCCTCTCTCCCCCCCCACGCACAACTGCAACAGCCCAGATTCCAGTCAGTAATTATATCCACAAACTATCCAGGCACGTACTGCAAGGCAGGCGAAAAAAAAAAAAAAAAAAAAAAAAAAAGTAGAAGGGAAAAAAAAAAAATTCCCCCTCCTCGCTCGCCCTCCCTGACGCCTGCCGGGCAGCTAAGTGGAGGTCTGCCGGCCGGGCTGGCTCACCGGCACGGTGCTGCTGGCCCCCGGCCGCCGCTGCATGTTAGGGAGGCGCGGGCGGGAGCGCGGCGCTGGGCGCGGAGGCTGCGCGGTGCGCGGCTCCGGCGGACTGACCTTGCCGCGGCCGCGGAGCCGCGCTCCTCGCCCGCCGCCCGCCCGCCCGTCCGCACCGCACCGCTCCGCGCCTCGCCTCGCCCTGCCGGCCGCGCCGCGCTGCCTCCCCTCCTCTCTCGCTCCCTCGCTCGCTCGCTCTTCTTTCCTTTTTCTTCCGCTGCTGTCGAGCCGCACGCTCGCACACACTCACATGCACGCAGAGGGAGAGTTGCTAAGAGGCTCTGCTCGTTTCAACCTGGTGCACACTGAAAGATCTGACACCCTCTGCTGAGCTGCAGTGGCAAAAATCCATCTGCTGAGGGAATGCTGGAGAAGAAAAAAAAAAATCAATCCACGTTCAGGGCAAGCGTTAAAAACGTTGGCATTAAAAGCTGTCGATCTATTTAGTTGCGTTTTCCTAAATGGATTATTTAATTTCTTTCTTTCTTTTTCTTTTTTTTTTTTTTTTTTTTCACTCTTAAAGCTGTTTTCAGGTTAAGAAAAACAAGCGAAGGGAAAATGCACAGGTTAGAGTTCACTTTTCTTGAAATGGTTCCTTATTGCCCCCATTCACACACACTCACACCTGCACGAGAAAGAGAGGAAGGCACGTTTGCGTTATTGTATTTCCCAATGGCTCGAACAGAATTAGTGTCAGGGTGTCAAGCGAATAGCAATTTGAGGTAATTACTCTGCACGCCATTTTTATCGTTGCTTTAAATGCGTTTCTTCCTCCCCTGCAGTCTAGGCTGTTTCATGCTGGATTTTGTCTCTTGCTGGCGTTCACTATGCAATGTCGAACTGTGGATTAATGCACTATTTTTCATAATTTAGATGATCACAGCGAAGAGGGTAGGTAGGGGGGAGGGGATTGCTGCACTGTTAGCAGTTCACGCTACCTGTTCCCACGGAGTATAGTGTCTCCCTTAAGGAGGGGAGGGGAGGGTAACGAACTGACAGTTATTCTTATCTCCGTATAAAAATCTGGAGATGCGTGTATGTCCACGCATAGCTATTTCTCTAGGGATGCTCCTTATATACTCTCCGTGGAAATAAAACGCCTGCTTCCCTCGACCTCCTCCTTCTCCCCCCTTCCTTCCCCCCCCCCCCCCCCCCCCCCCTTCCCCCCCCCCCCCCCCCCCCCGCTGCCCTTTTTCCAGCTCCCACCCTTCTGACAAAAGAGATTACACAGCGGAAAAATCGGTGCCTGGCCTTAAAGACAGGAGCCAAGCATACAAAAGTTTCTGCATCATTTGGACGGGTTTCAGATGCCTATGAGCGAAGAACCAGTTGCACCTCTGGTGGTGCAAGTGGAAACCCGCGTTTCCCCTGCCCTGTCAAAACGCTTGGAGGAGGAGGAGGAGGAGGAGAAGGAGGAGAAGGGGGAGGAAGAAGAGGAGGAGGAAGAGGAGGAGGGGGAGAAGGAGGGGAGGAGGAGGAGGGGGAGGAGGCGTGAAGGAGGGAGAGACAACCCAGCCTCCTGGTGCCTCCTGCAGCCCTGGGCTGTGCCTCTCGAGTCCGGCGCCGCTGGTGAACTTTGCGGCATACTGGTAGGGGGGGATGTAGCCGCGGGAGTGGGCTGGAGGAGGGTTATTTATAGCAAAATCCAGAGAGCCATATGGAGCCTGCACCCCCTGGTCCCGGCGGCATGTTAATTTGGTCAAAGCTTCTCCCTGGCTACCGCTTGCAAATAAATTAGACATCCTGCCGATGATGATCTTATCAAATTAATGTAATTAGACCACAGACAAGTWACAACAGTTACCGTGGCCATTTCAAGTCCCCAGGATGAGTATTTGGTCTTTTGGTTTGTTCTGGTGGGCAGGGACTAGGGAGGGAGGGGGAAATTGGGTAGGAAATGGGACAGGAGTAAGAAACAAAATAGACAGAAAGAGAGAAATCCTGGCCCTGAAAAAGCTTATCCAATAAATTACAAATGGTTAGAAGAGATAAAATGCCACTGAGACAAAAAGCACCACATGGTGGTTTCATTCGGAAAAGAAAAAGAATAAAGGAAACTTGGCACCAAAGTGGGGCACATTAATTCATTTCTCCTAATGGTTTCTTTGACTTTGTCTCTCAGTGATGTCAGGGTGGGAGGATAGGGGTGCAAGGCTTCTGTGGGTCAAAAATTGCAGCCTTAAAGTGCAAGGGGAACTGGAGGCWAGGAAGCCCCAGGACACTTCTCAGAGGGAGGTGGGACAGTCAGAGGAAGGAACAAAGGTCAGGGTGGGGGTCAAAGACACAATTACTGGGTGCCAGCAGCAGTGACAAGATCACWGTGAATAAAGTCTTTACAGAGGAAAGACTGAAAATCTGGAGACTGGTGAAGACTCCCTGGGATGTGGGGCAGGAGGGTTTGTTCTCCTCCTGCCTTAGAATATAAGTTCCAAGCATCTTTACCTTCATGTTATTAAAATTGCTCAGGCACCGTAAAAACAATCAAAATGCAACCAGAGGACCTGAACACTAACAAGATACTAAATAAATAAATAAGGGTTGAATAAGTGGAAGGAGACAATGACCTGTTGTCAAAGCATGAAGGACAAATTGCCTGCTTCTTACAAAGGATTTGCTGAGAGGTGGGATCTTGTAGAAGTCATCTGGGGACCTGAAATTTCAAAGTGGCAAAAAACCAAAAAGTAAAAAATAGACCAGAAGTAAGAGTGTTTCTRGATGCTATGTAACTTCCAAAGGAGTATTTATTTAAGGAAACCATTGTGTTTCAGCTGTATATTTTGGAGATTGATGTCTTATATTTATAATATGTATCTTGAGAGATCATCTGCCATGCAAAAGTTAACATCTAGGAGACAATTCAGAGAGGAAGAAAAGAGGCACCATCCATTGAGATTTTGTACCTGAAGTTTTTTATTCTATGAGWCAAACTACCCAGAAAGATCCAGCAAATTGATTTATTATTACTCAGTGCCATAATCCTAAATTTTTAGGCTTTTTCATCATGTTGAGCTTGGAAACAGGTATCTTAGGATAAGAAACCTGCCTCTAAGAGTTTTAAGGAAATGCCTGCTTCTGGATCAGGTTGATAGGGAGCTGAAATGTTTTATTCTCTTACTTAGAGAGTGTGGARAAGTAAGAGATTATACAGCATTGAAGTACCAATTAATCTGGGTCTTTAAAATTCAGCATATGCCTCCCAGTTTACAATCCATATGCGGGTTGAGTAAACAGAACTCAGATAATCCCTGCTAAATCATCCAGAAGATCAGACAGGGGAAAGAGCACACAAATGTATTGTCCTTGACTTATCTGTTATCTTTTACCTTGTGTTTGTGCCTTCAAATTCCAGAAGCCTAAAACAATGAGCTTCCTACTTATATCATTCCTATGGGTGTAGAGTCCACATTTAATTGCATACAAGCCAATTTAGGCCATTTTTAAYTGAAATGGTTTTACTCACAATATGGAAAATCACTTGAAATATGAAAAGGTAGTGGGATAGATCTTGGTTTTCCCAATTAGTAATCTCCCCGTTGCTATGGCTATGTAAGTAACACTGGGTAAGGGTATATTTGTGCTGCGTCGGAACATGTTAAAAAGCTAGTTACTTCATCTAACATTGTAGAACTTGCAGAGCAGAACTCGGACCATCTGCAGAGGTTCTAGAGAAGAAAACAATTATTACTCTAGATATCTTGATTTCAATGTTTGTGCGATGTACTGTAAAATTGGCTCCATTATTTTTATGGAGGTATAAAGACATCCTACACTGTAGACATGATGTTGTGTATGGATACACACACACACACACACATTCATATGTGCATATGGACAAATTATGATAAACCAGCAAATAAAAGAGCTATAGGATTATAATTTAATTTGAAATCATGGTTTTGTTCAGGCTTTGACTATGGGATTTGACTCAGACTGGTAGTTAACACAGATGCCTCCATATGTTAATGCAACTCCTGCAGAAACTATGCTTCTCAATGTATACAATGACTTTAAACSAGTTCAGAWAAACAAGTTCTAACTAAGGGTAGAAGAGTTTAAGCTAATGTCAGGATCTCCTGACAGCATTCTCTATCTCAGTATATTTCACATGCCTACTTCACATAGCTACTGGATTTTTATCTAAACTCCAATTAGACCTAACAAGGTTTCCAAAACTAGATAATTTTCTTCTTCATTTTTTTCATTTTGCTAAGGGTAATGGCATGTGAGCGTGTTCCAAGTCTCCCTACGATATGTTCACCAGACGGAGCTTTGCAAAATGATGCAGTGGCGGATGATGATGACTAAAAAAAAAAAAAAAAAAAAAAAAAAAAAAAAGAGAAAGAAAAGAAAGTTAGAGAAGTGGTTTGCCTACTTCTATCTAGTGAGTAGGAGACTGGCTCATGATGAGCAAATAAAAAATTCTCTATCTTTTGCAGTGTAAGAGCCAGCCCACATGTTCTTCTTTCTTGGCTCATACCCTCAACCACCGGGCTACCAACCCTCTTGCTGCAGCTGTTCTACTTTACAAGAAAAATAATTTTCTGATCCCTTGAACCATAAAAAGGCAGTAGGGGACCATGAGTTGCAGCACTCACCAGGGTGTGCACAGCCCTTGGAGGACATGCTTGCATTGTGTTTTCATGTGAGACTGAGCTTG